ATGCAGTGTGTTTGATTCAACGGACATACATTTGAATACAGTATTCAAATTCTTGAATGCTATCTGGATTTGACTGGGATTCTGAAATACTTCTTTCAAAGGTATTTAGACTTTCATGAACCTATAATAAAAAAAACAGACCTGAAACCCCCTAGCTTCCAATCTCTGATGTTACTGTCCTTAAACTCTGACGTGATGTTGTGCAGACGTGCAGTGTCCCTTTACTCTTGCGTTTTCAAAACAACCTCTGTTGTCGGGCGTAGTTGAAGTACAACTGGCCAGACTGCACAGGAAAGTACGGAATGATAAAATGTTTCTACGGCTCAAAATGTCCCTTAAGACCCTTGTCACTCAAGTCTCTGTGAGGAATGGGCAGGTAGAGAGGTTTTACAGATGCTTGTGATGTTTCGCACGGGGTGTTACCTGTTGTAGTGTCTCTCTCCGATTTGGACAAAACAAGAAATTAAAATCAGCAGGGAAGTTGAACAGCACAGGCAATATACAAAAAAAGCTATCAAACACAGTGCTCAGCAAAAATTGTGATTGAGTAGATCTGACTAAGAAATGAATTTGATTTGTAAGCAAGCGAGACCCAGCGCTGCTTATGAAACACATCAAACTTCCAAACAGAAACGTATTGAGCCAGGAAACATAGCTCTCACAAGTACATTGAGGCTGTAGAAGGTTGGTGCCATGGCTTAGCTGGTTAAAGTAGCTCTGTGAAGGTGGGCACCCTACAGACAGCACAAACAATAAGACCAGCCTTATTCATTAGTGCTACATTTGTGCCGGGTTGTGCTGCTGAAAGTAGTGTTTGTGCTGTTTTCGTTTCTGAGATATAGCGCCTTGTTGTTTTCGGGGTCGTGATGTAACGTGATGCGAAATATGGAGAGTTGCTAGTTAAAGCCTCTTTCTAAGAACATGCAGTTGACTGCTAATGTTCACCTTTTAAGGCTACATCCACAACTGTTCTGCTTAGGGTATGATATTGTTGAAAAGTTTTAATTTTCCTGATCACATGAAAGCACAGAAGATACTGCTATTAAAAGCAAAATCAACCGCTTCATTGTTTGTGCGGTTTGTAGGGGGGCTAACTTCATGGAGCTAAAAACCAGGAGATCATGGGTGCGAATCCTAGTGGTATCTATTCTTAGACACCCGGCCACTCACTGCCAATTGGTGTTGGTAGAATTAAGTCATACACAAATTGTGGGTTCAAGTCCCACCAGAATCACGTGTCATTTTGATTCAACCTTCCGAAATCCTCTAGGGATTAGCATTGACCAAGTCAAATAGAGGACTTCTTCAGAGTCAACAATCGAAAATGATTGTTTTCTGGTCAGGCCAGTGTGTCTGAGTGCCAGGACTTTACTTTGTTCTAAGAGTCGAGACCAGAGGTCGCCTGTGCGTAACCAAAGGATCCGCCCGAGGTTAGCCCAGCTGACAGCCTTGTGAACCGGCGGTAACCCACTGTGAATGTTCGCCTGATCAACAAGTAAACTACAGTTGGAACTGTCGACAGCTGAATCTTAGTATTCAGGACTAGCGCTACATTGGGAACAAACCTGTCTTCTTCCTGTCTAAAGAGTGTGACTTGCTCGGAACTGCAGTCACTTTTCATGTACACAAACTCAGAGAGCCCACTGCCAGCATGCCACAGCAGGAATCTCTCCCTCCTTCTCCCACACCTCATGCCGGACCAGCACTGCCTGGCACCGGGCCACGAACAGTAAAATACAGTTTTGTGGGGATGACAGGTTTTGGCTATGCGGGAACTGTGAATAATATTCCTACGAGGTTACCAGGAAATAATATTTAATTGTATTTTGTTTATGTGGCTGGTAAACTGTATATATATTGCTTGTCCTGTCCAGATTAAACAAAAAAATAGTTGCATTGAAAAAAAAAACTTAAAAATATGGAATTATTAGTAATGGTGACAAAATAGATTTTCTTATTAGGACAGATTCATACAATATCTCTTGATTCTTTATTATTTCCCCCTTTAGTTCATATTTCTTGTATTTCAATTTTATCCTCTCTTGGTATAAATACATTTTAGATTGTGACACTTAAGGATCCTGTTCTGTTTTATATATGTTTCTTGCTTAACATGGTAAGTTAAAAGTTGTTAAGCAATTACAAGCCTATCCAGTGAGAACAGTCTTAACTGTAAATTAAACAGGACTAAACTTAACATCCCAAGACTACAAAGAAACAAAGAATTGATTCAATTGAGACTTTTTAGATGACACAGGTTCTGGCTATGCAGGAACTGCGAATCATATTCATGTTAGGTCATCAGAAAATAATGTTTAATAAACTAAATGCAATTAAACATTAAGTGGCTGTTAAAGCATATATATATATATTTGTTTGTCCTGTCTGGTCTAAAATAATTGAAAAACAAAACTGTTAAAAAATATGGAAAGATTAGTAAAGGTGCCAAAATAGATTTTCGTATCAAGAGAAATTCATACAATATATCTCTGATTCCTTATTATTTACCCTTTATTGCATAAAAATGTATTGTATTTGATCAAATTTAGATTGTACAACAAACTTTGAGGTTTTTGGTAAAATTTAATCAGATGTGTGACAGTTAACACATTTTATATATTTTTTTTCTTAACATGGTTAAAACTTAAAAGCTGTTACACAATTACAAGCCTATCCAATGAGAACAGTCTTAATTGAAAAATAAACAGGACTAAACTTAATATTCAAAGACTGTAAAGAAATACATAATTTAATTTAGACTTAGTTCATTTTAAAATTGAATAAAACTAAAAACTTTATACATTTTATTATACACGTAACGTAAAATGCATGACTGGAACCAATTCTGTTCTAATCAATCAAAAGTCAGAGTAATTATAGACTAAATAAAAAGTGGGTGACTACAAAGTGAATTACTTGTTCCAAACATGTCTATAAGTCCAGGTTTATTTCATGCTGAAAAGAGAAGAAAGAAAACACTATATGTTGGCTGTGGAACCTTTTACGGATGTCACTTGTTGATGCAGCTACCTACTTCAACTAAGAGACATTTCAGTTGACAAGACTAAGACTATGATTAAATCAAAAACTGGTGATTAAACCGGTGTATTTTTAAGTCACATGACTGGATAAAACTCTTCCCACACTGACTGTAGCTGAATGAACTCTCTCCTGTGTGTCTGCACCGGTGGACTCTGAAGGTCTCGTGTGAGTGTGCTGGTGGGCTATTAAGGTACATGAGTCACTAAAACATTTCCCAAAGTGACTGCAGTTAAAAAGTCTCTTTCCTGTGTGATTAAGGGCGGTTTGGTGGCTCTGTAGGTAAGGATCGCTGCCTGTGGGTGGAAGGATGCCAGTTCAAATCCCCACAGCTGGCAGAGAAATCCTACTCTGTTGGGACCCTATGTGAAGGCCCTTAACCCCAGCTGCTCCAGGGGTGCTGTACAAACAGCTGACCCTGCGCTCTGACCCCAGGCTTCTCTCCCTATCTGTGTGCCTCATGGAGAGCAAGTTGTGAAAAGACAAAATCCTAATACGAAATAAGAAATTGAATATGGCCAATAAAGTGATCTTATTTTATGTGCTGGTGAGCTCTTCAGGTAATTCAGTCACTAAAACTTTTCCCACGCTGACTGCAACTAAATGGCCTCTCTCCTGTGTGAACATCCTGGTGGGCTCTTAAGGTACTTGACTGACTAAAACTCTTCCCACACTGACTGCAGCTGAATGGTTTCTCTCCTGTGTGAATACGCTGGTGGGCTCTTAACGTACTTGAGTCACTAAAGCTCTTCCCACACTGACTGCAGCTGAATGGTCTCTCTCCTGTGTGAATGCGCTGGTGTGTTTGTAAGTGGTTTATCCTAATAAACTTCTTCCCACACTGAATGCAGCTGAATGGTCTCTCTCCTGTGTGAATACGCTGGTGGGTTCTTAAGTTACTTGAGTTTCTAAAACTCTTCCCACACTGACTGCATGTAAATAGTCTCTCTCCTGTGTGAATGCGCTGGTGGGATATTAAGGTACTTAAGCCTCTAAAACTCTTCCCACACTGACTGCAGCTTAATGGTCTCTCTCCTGTATGAATGCGCTGGTGTGTTTGTAAGTGGTTTATCTGAATAAAACCCTTCCCACACTGACTGCAGCTGAATGGTCTCTCACCTGCATGAATATGCTGGTGTGTTTTTAAGTGACTTGAAGCACTAAAACTTTTCCCACACTGACTGCAGCTGAATGGTCTCTCTCCTGTGTGAATGCGCTGGTGTCTTTTTAAGTGACTTGACTGACTAAAACTCCTACCACACTGACTGCAGCTGAATGGTCTCTCTCCTGTGTGAATGCGCTGGTGGACTCTTAAGGCACTTGAGTCTCTAAATCTCTTCACACACTGACTGCAGCTGAATGGTCTCTCTCCTGTGTGAAGGTGCTGGTAGGGTTTTGAAATGCTAGACTGACAGAAACGCTGCTCCTCCCTGTGCCGTAATGGCAGTTTGTCCACTCCATCTGAGCAACGCCTTGAGTGATTCTTCCTCATCCTCTGATCGTGCTGGGGTCTCTTATTCTGCAAATGCTCCATGGAATGGTCTTGCTCTGTGTACTGAAACTGAGATTTGTTTTCCCCATTGTGTCCCTTAGTGTGCTGCTCAGCAGTGTGAATCACCTGGGGCTCCTTCTCCAGTTCTGCAGGGTCAATCAACTGGGGCTCTATGTCCTGCTCTGTAAGATTAAACTCACTCAGTTCTTCTTTAAGTTCTTGTATAGAGACGCAGTCAAGTTCATTACAATGTTCTGCAATATTCTTGGTATCCAGATGATTCATCTTGTCTGTAAATATTAAGTGTCCAAGTGTCTCACTCTCAGGTTCTATCTTCATCATGGGCACAGAGTCCAGATCCTCGACACTCTGTCTGCTCTCTGTGTGCTGCTCACTGCGTTTCTCTTTCCCTTCTGCAGCAGTGAGCTCTGTCTCCTGCATCAGACTGGACCCCCACTCCTCCTCATTGTGCTGCTGTTCAAAAGGAGCCCTTTCCCCAGCATCAGGGAGAGCACTGGCCTCTGAGCCTGTAAACACAGGACAGGAAATCAAGACCTTAATAATAATAATAATAAACTTTATTTTATATTTCAACTTTAAAGGTGGCTTCTCAAAGGGATTTACAGAGTGCCAACAACAACAAAAAACACAAAATAAGCATGATGAGAATACACTGTTAGAGGAGACAGTAAATGGTGGTACCAAGTACACAAAACATGAAAGGAAGCCAATGCAAGGACTCCGGGAGTAATGTGATCACTTGCACTAGACCTGGTCAGGATTCTGGCTGCCGAATTTTGGACATACTGGAGTCTGTTCAATGTGGATTTAGAAACCCCAGAGAGCAGAGCATTATAGTAGTCGATTTGGAAGAAGACAAAACTTTTCAGCCACAGTTAGTGATAATATAGGGCGTAGTAGAGCAATATTTCTGAGGTGAAAGAAGGATGTTTTGACGATATGTTGCACATGTGAGTCAAATATCATCCCCATTTTTTTCCAAAATTACTGAAGCTCAAGTACATTACCATCTACAGATAGGTTTACAGGACTGGCTTTATAAAGTTGATGGGGGGTGCCAAAAAGCATGACTTCAGTCTTGTCACAATTAAGATGAAGGAAGTTTTGAGTCATCCTAGTTTTTATGCAATTAGAATAGAGACAGCCAAATCAGCATAGTAATGATAGCTGAGGCCATGTGATCTTAAACAATGACCAAGTGGAAATATGTAAATACTAAGAAGTAAGGGGTCTAGTACTTAGCCCAGAACTTTAACACGGGCATAAAGTACTTCTCAAAAGGAAGCAACACCCACACAAAAAGTATCTTAAAATTTAAATTTGAGATAGCTAAGATATTATTTAGTTGCATGTAAATGAAGTTTTAAAAAATAATTTTCCAAACTTGATATACATCAAAGATTCACACACTCTTCATTTCTTTGAACACAGATAACGTGAAAAGAGACTGAAAATACAGCAGACACATATGTTACGCTATGTATTTTTACACAAATTCATGTATAGCCAGTCAGCCGTGAAAAAAAATCAAATATTGTAAATAATTTAAATACTGTGGGAAACTTCACAAATTCAACTCTTATACAGCACGCAGCTGAGCTCCTCTTTGGAAACTAGTCAGTAGTTTTCATGCAGCATCACCATCAAGATGACTAGTACAAAGAGGAAAGGCAAGTCAAGAGAAGTTAAGTTGTATCACTGTTTTTATTATTGTTTAAACTACATACAGATGCAGCCATTCAAAGAACCCGTACAGCACACAATGACCTACGTCACGTACCGCGGTACGTGATTGGATGGTCAAAATGATGGGGCACTCGTGATTCATTATTTTTAATTAGACTCATTCACGCATGAGGAACCATGATCTTGACATGCAGGTGATGAGGTGTGCAGGTCTGAAGTAGAGTTAACAGCTTCAGATTTAAAAGGTTATTAATAATATCTTCAGTGTCACATTGACATTGGAATGTTCTTCCAAGTGTAAAAAGATACTCAATGTGTCTCCTTTATAATTTTCAGCTTACAGACCATCCAAGATAATTTATTATGAATAATATCTTCTGTATTGCATTAAAATTGGAACACTTTTCACAGGTGTAAATCCACCTATTTTCTAGCCGTTTTATTCAGGACAGGTAACAGTTTCACCCCTCCCCCTTCCCTCTGCCTGTCTGACTTCTTTTTAACTCTTCTGTGCCTGAATCACAGTGGGTGAAAAAAGAGAAAAAAGTTAAACTGTTTTTATAGCTTTTAAAATTATGTCTAAGTTAAGCAGGAACACATAATTATCTCATTATTGATTTCTTTCTTAAAAATTAAAAAATTGGTTTGCCCAGCCTAAGAGCGTTTATGATATAGTGGCATTTTCGGGTTCGATGAGGATGTACACAGTGACTCAGACACTTGTTGAATGAAAAACGGTGCTTTATTTTTCGGCACAGCCTTAAAGTAGTTGTACAGTAATAAAACGTGGGTAAAGTCATCCCATTTAAACAATGTGCTTTTCACACACATCCTGCTAATATAAAAATTAGACACAAGAAGAGTAGTGTCTGAATTACTCTGTCCGTCCTCGCCGAACCCGAAAATACTACAATATACTGTATATCTCTAAATATCACCAATGCGGGTTGTTCGCATGAACTCGTATTGAGCAGTATTTCTCGCATTGTGAACATACTGTATGTACACAGTGGTCCTGCAGGGTGTAGGGCGCAAACCCACGTGACCCTGAAAGTGCTAAATTATTAATGTCGCATTAACATTGGAATGTTCCTTTTTACAAGTGTAAAAAGAGGCAATACACAACGCGTCTCCTCTTGAACTCTTCAGTTTACAGAGAAATTTCACCAGAGCCTCACAACATAGTCCAATAATACTCTTCTTGTGTCTAGTATATGAATATAATTATATTGTTTTTAATTTCTTTAGATAAGCGATTCCATATTATATTCCGTATTAATCAAATTCTAAATATGTCAATATAGTGTCCATAATATTTCCTATTTCAAAGAAGCTTTTCAAAGGCTTGAGGCGTTTGTTAATTAATCAAATTCTAATTCTAAAAGTATGCTTTCGTTTACTCCAATAATGAGCATATTAGCAGAAATACAGAAATAATTTTTAGAATCCACTAAATAGAAAATATAATATGGAATCGATTATCTAAAGAAATTAATAATGATATTAATTTAAGAATCTAAAAGAAAAGGATCAGAAAAGATTCACAAACCAACACAAGGTTGTGAAAGGTCAAAGGGCCTGTCTACAGTGTAAAACATTTGGTCGCAGCACTGTGAGTGTTGTCGTTTGAAAGCTATTGAGTCATGAACAGCGACCCCCTGTCCAATGGTGCTATCTTACAGAATTAATAAAATATTCTGGAAGGGATTCACATTCAAAATCATGACAGTGAAAAATAAGAGGGCCTGCTTAGTGTATAAAACACTTGGTTGCAGAATTGTGAATGTTATGCTCAAAAAGCTATTGAGTCATTAGGAAGACCCCCCTATTCCAGTGTATTAGAAAAAGAGATTCACATTGCAAAGCTGTGTCAGTCTTCTGTGTAAAAAATCGGTTTGAACATCATTAGTGCTGTTTTTAATAAGCTGCTGAGCAAAAAATAGGAATTTTCCTGCTGTCAACAGTATTGTGTATATAGTTGACCTTTACCTCAATGAAAACAGGATATAAAGAGAGGGTTTCAGAAATCAAACAAAGCTTTATTCCCATGCTTACAGGATTCCAATTAGTTCATAATTATGCATCGATGAAAAACCGGATGTTTACAAAAAGAGATTTTTTTTGACAAGTAGAGGTCTTTAAAATGCGTTTGGTTTGAAGGCTTTCTGTGTTTCCCTTGCAAATATATAGACATAAGAATATTTGTGCGAAGTCAAAAAAATGGCGTAAAATGGCGTAAAAACGACACAGCCAAACATTGCTGTGACTTTTGTAGTAACTCCAGTCCACTAGAAGCAGGCTGCCACTTACTGTACTTTTTGGACCGGTTTTCCTGCAGTCTACATTTGGGCTGGTCTCTGGCATGTACCCTGACTAGTCTGGCTCCCAGCACACTCCTGGGCGACCACCCATAAGTGTGCTACTGCACTAATTTAACCACTAAATAAATATAGAAATCCCTACATTACACACTGTTGTAGCGGTGAGGCTAATTAATAAGACAGAATTAAGTGTTGCCGTGCTTTCCTAAATGAGGCCCTATCTCTCTCTTAATCTCTGTGGTGCAGCCACAGAGAAGCTATTAATGCAGGCTGATTTAAAGATGTTTTCTTTTGATAAGGACAGCTCCCAAATGGGGATGCACTTAGCTAAGCCTGGCTATCATGATCAATGGTCATCCATTGGCGCCTATCTGTCTAGGGAGTGCCAGATGGACATCTGGACTCCATTCCTAGGTGTCAGGAGTAAGTGACTCATATCTCACCTTGATCAACCAATCAGGGACTGGTAGGGCAGGTTAACCCCACGTGGGTCTCTGATGCCCATGAAACTTTCAGCCAATGAACGAGCTGAAGTTCCTCCTGGTAAAAAAAGACAACACAGAGAGCCTGAAAGACTATTCTAAAGAGAATTCAAAGGAGAATTCCAGGGGTGCGAGACAATTCCAGGGCAGGAAGGCCCAGGAGCAGAAAGGTTCCCAAGGGACCTTCTCGCAGCGCGCCTCCTGACCATCCTGAGACTCAGCCCGGACAACCACGGAATGGCCATTGTGTCTGAGTGCCAGAACTTTCCTTTGTTCTAAGAGTCGAGAGCGTAGGTTGCCCCAAGTAACCAAAGAATCCACCCAAGGTTAGCATCAGCAGCAAGCCTCGTTAACAGGTCGGAACTGTGGACAGCTGAATCAGTATTCAGAACTAGCGCTTCATCAGGAATGAACCTGTCCTCTTCCTGACCTGCTGGGACCCATAGTCATCTTTTCTCCTGTGCACAAACTCTTGCTAGTTTCAGCCAAAACTAACTAGCCGGTCTTCAGAGAGCATCAGCAGCGCACCGTCGCAAGCCGCACAGCACAGCCTGGCACGGAGCAAGAGAGCAAGGATTGGACAGCAACAACCCTGCAACTGCTTCTTTGTGCCTGCAGGAGATCTGAATCCCCAGAGATTGGATGAGTATTCAACTTTACTGCATTACAGCTCGAGAATTCAATTGTTATGGTGCCTCGTGAGAGCACACTACACTGTATATGGCTAGTATTGGTATTTTAAAGAAAAATACACTCCAGTATTCCACTTTCTCCCTAAACACTTTATGTGGTTATTTTGGAAACATTTTTACTTGCTCCTTCTGACCATAATAAGTTTATATTAAGTTTAAAGGGCACTTTTCCTGTCCGTGCAGGGAAGAGGTTCCCCCATTCTACTCTGAGAATGTAGAGGGCAATGGGTTAGATTACTCTGATGCAGCGATCCGCTGGTAAGGTGACTGAGGGCTTGCCAGCGCGGTGATGTCACTGCCTTTCATATGAATAGAAGGGACCTGGTCCGGCAGGGTTGAAGGCAGATCTCACTGTAGCTTGACTGGCTGCTTCCCTGTTGAGTGACACTGGAGGCCTGGGTTCAATTCCCCAGCTGGTAGGGTGTGAGCCTGAAAGTGCTACATTATTAATACTATCTTCTATGTCACATTAACTAACTCTTCGGTTTATTCCGCCAGACAGTACATGAATATAATTATATCGTTATTAATTTCTTTAGATGCACAATTCCATATTATATTCCCTGTTAATCAAATTAATCGTATGCTTTTGTTTACACAGATAATGAGCAAATTCACAGAAAAGGTTAAAACACTAGCACTTTTCACAAAGTATATAAACTTAATATGGTCAGAAGGAGCACATAAAAATGTTTCCAAAATAACCACATGTAATACTTTGATGCTTAAAATGTTTAGGGAGAAATGGAATACTGGTATGTATTTGTTCTTTAAAATACCAATACCAGCCATATACAGTTTACATAATATGTTTATGTTCCTAAATTAATATTGTTTATGTGCATGTGAAAGGCATGGTGAACCGGAGATTCTCAAAACTTACTTTCTATGATTTCTATGATTGGAAACGAATAATCAATATCTGAAAAAATAAAGTATTTTCATTTACAAAGACAGTTGCAAAGAATGTGGACCTTACTAATTTAAGCTTACAGCTTACAGCTTGTCTAAGGTCATTCACAATTAATATTATTAGTAATATCTTCAGTAAAAACTTTGATGCATAAATCTGCATAATTAAAATATTTATGATAAAGTTGGTAGGTTGTGTACTTTTGTCCAACTGAGCAATCTTGCTTTTATAAAATATACCTTATATTTTAATGTTTAATGATTAACATGCTGTAATACACAGTTTAAAATTTAAAGTCTAAAGAGTATACAACTTAAATTCTTATTTGGAAAAAGACTGTCCTTTAGCAGTGACTAGGATTTGAAAGTGTTTTCTGGTGACAGTTCAAATGCTGTACATGAGAGGTTAAGCTTTATTAGCTCCACCTGGCAGTGATTCCGGATACTTTTATAATACCTGTGGTATGACGCGTTCAATGTGACACGTCCATTGCTTTGTACCGCAACGTACATCGCTCATTTTGAATGGCTGCATTTGTACATGCACGTACCAGTACACTCACAATCAATTTGGATTGTTTAGACACAGGGGAATAAGTGGGTCTAAGGGGGTGTTCAGATTATATGCAATTATATGCAATTTTAGAAATACAAGTTATGTCAGAAATCTAACTACCATGCAAAAAGTAAGTCTACTATAATAATATCACAAGTACATAATATTTACATTAACACTGCACTGAGAAAAAGAGGGGTTAAGACAGACACACTGACGGACTGGACACTACAGTACATAAAGACTGCATTGAGAGGAGTTAATATAGACACAGGCTCTGGAGGACTGTAATGCTTAAAATTATTTTATATACACAATCATTAGTATAAATATAAAATATAAACCAATACAACGTTAAAACTATATATATATAACTTTTCTTATCTAATGACGTTGTATTATTCGCTGATTCAGTGAAACAATTGTTGAATCTTAACGAGGTGTTTTCACCACAGTAACTGGACAAAACAGTTCAGTTTCCAGTAAAAAATCCCGTTGGTACATCACACAAGTCTTTCCCGCTTCACGCTGCATCTCTCCACTATATTCTCACCAGTGAGGAAGTTAAGACACCATTTTTATATACACACACTGACTTCATACAAGTCACCACACTGACCTGAGAGCTCCAGTTTCGTGTCCATTTCTTCTTTTATTCCTGCAGTGACTTCCCACGGAAGCGTGTATCGAACATGATGTGTCTGTCCCCGATCTCCTCCTGCTCCCGACTCCTTCTCCCACAGCTGCAATCTCCACTTCAGGGTCTCGTTTTCCTTCTTCAGCTGCGCCATTTCACTCCCGACACTGTCCTCCACACACTGCGTGATTTTAAACACAGACCGTCTCACCATAGTCTGGGAGACGCTACGGAGTTTGTTTTCAATCTCATCCTCAGAGTCAGACATCCTGTTTCGGAACACTCGTGAAACTTCATACACGATCGATTTGAGCAAAACCTCCATGAAAGAGTGAAGCTCAGTTTCCAGACTGAACAGCAAAATTGCCATATTTAATACAAGATGATCAAAAATACAGAGAGACTGCTGTGCTGATACTGAAACGACAAACACTAAGTCTCTTCCGCACCTACGGGTCTATATTATTGCAAGGGTTTGAATTCACACCTGAAACAGGAACAGGAACTGAGCGATCACTCCTCCTACATCCTGCCACATGACGCACTTCCTTAGTGATGGTTGATATGCTCTTCACGTAAAGGACTTTCAGAGTGTTGGATCTTGTTGAATATACAAATTAAATTAAATGATAAAAATAAATTTAGCATTGTTTACAAATAAATGTACGTTTCCAGATCCTTCGCCTGTAATGAAATACCTAACAATACTTAAACGTATATTGAAATAAAGGGATCAAACATTCAATGTAATAGATCCATATCTGAACAATGTTTACTAATAGACGGTAATGTGAACAACTCCTGTTGCCAATTGGTTTGATATCTCCAAGAAATCCAAGAGATCGGGTATTGAAAATCAATTTTTAAACATAAAATGTGAAATGGAAAGTAGGTCAAAAGCCTTCTGATAATCTAAGTGCACCATACAACATGTTCTGTGCAGCCATTAATTTTATGGGCTTTTATTGGATTTGATTAATTAAACAAATTATATTTTTGCTTACAATAGATAGTTTTAGATCTATATTCATAATAAAGGTTAGTTTTATTATAATTGATTATTTCTACAATTAAGAGTAATCCTTTGTTTCATTTTTCAGAAAAAACAGCAATGTTGATAAAATAAGAAAAATAAAGTTCCACTTTTGCTACAGTGTCATCTACATTAAAACTTGTGTTGGCCGTCACCGGGCAATTTCCGATAATGATCAACATCATCAACTTCAAGTAAAATAAGATTCACACATGGAATTTTATCTTGGAATGGAGGGCGGGATAATTCATTTATACTCCCGTTGCATCTTGAGCTAAACTATTTTAAAAATATGACGCAGATTTGTTCAAGACATTTGTAATCGCCTTAAAGAGAGTTTTCATGAAGACATACGTCGGCTAGCTCTCCCCTGTTAATTGACAGGACTTTTGACGAGGTTGTGAGTTTGAGCCTCACCTGGAGTAGTATGGCCTGTGTCTTTAGCTACTGAAAGCAACTGACGAGTTTAGGTGTTGGAGATGAAGTTTAAATTAATTTGAAAGAAACAAATAAAGGTTTATTCTATATCACACCCAAAGAAGGCTCCACTGCTGAAACGTTGTTTCCTGCTCATTTCAGCATGGAATAAGTAGTTGCAAGAAAATCAGCTGCCTGAATAGGGACCCTGAGATGAAAAGTTCGATATTCTACTGACTGGGCTATTCCCGTCTACTCAGTTTCTTTCTGAAACAGCGTTTTTCCAGAAATACTTACAATTTGTGAAATTTGAAATACAATCTTGCTTAAAAATGCAGATGATTTTTTTCCCAAAAAACGTAAATGGAGAAAACTGACCCGTTTGAGTCTCTGTGGTACAATTGCTTAGTGTGGTCAGGTTGGGACTAAAATGATAGTAAGGTGCTGGTTCAAGAACAACCTGGCATGCCTTTCTCACTGATCCAACATAAACATCATCTAGGGAAGAAGTGGCATGTAATGTTTAATACATTATTGACTTTATCGATAATTGGAGGAAATGCAAATGCTTTGCATGTATCAAATTACAGCATGTACAGATATACAGGTACAGGTATACACCGGTGGGCGTGTCGCGGTATCACGCAGTATCACGGGGTTAATCGCGTCATTTGACGTTATGCCGGAATGTATATGGCATCACCTTGTAAAACCGCCAGGAGGAGCCTATAAAGCTTAACCTCTCATGTACAGCATTTGAGCTTTTAAATTTAAACTGTGTATTACAGCATGTTAATCAGTCATTAAAATGTTGGTATATTTTATGAAAGCAAGATTGCTCAGTTGGACAAAAGTACACA